TTTTAATATTTTGTATTGTATATTTAATACAAAAGAGAAAAGAATTGATGATTAATGAAGCCAAAATGTATATCATCGTCGTTCTAATGTTAAGCGCACAAAAACACTAATAAAAATTTAAATATTCATATGTTACATAAATAAATTTCTCCCTTACCACGCAATTAAAATGAGGTAACTTTCTATAACTTTTTTCCTTGCAATCAAATATTTGATGACGTCAAAGTGTAATTGATAAAATATCACGTAGGTTTGTTTGACGATTACGATGTATGACGTGTCGCAGGAATTTCAATCATTCTTTCGTCTGATATCTTGTCACTCTTGCAGGACGACTGGCGAGCGCGTGTCAGAGGTCTGGAAAGAGTTGCGTCAGCTCTGCGGACGTCCTCGGCGCTAATCGCGATAGAGTCGCGATTAGGATCGCTCTTGCATGCAGTGCTCGGCGGTGAAAGGAGCTGCCGCGTGGCTGCCGCCGGCTTAGCGGTAGCGAAGGTGAGCTCCTCGCACCTCAAAATCGCCCTTAAATACACCGAGATTTAAGTCGATATTCATAGTCAGATCTTATATTTAAGATCGTCTTAAGTAATGTCTTAGGCCGGTAGTCAGATCTTATGTTCAAGATCGTCTTAAGTACGGTCTTAAGAAGTCACGAACCAATCAGAAGGCTGCATTAGCGTCTTAAGACATTTCTTAAAACGCTAATGCAGCTTTCTGATTGGTTCATGACTTCTTAAGTCTTGAAATAAGATTTGACTATGAATATTGGTTTTTAAGAAACTAGTGCAGTTCTCTGATTGGTTCATGACTGTACTTAAGTACTCTCAAGACTGACTTAAGATCTTAAATATAAGATCCGATTATGAATACCGCCTTTAGGCTAATTCATCGCTGACGGTAGTCGTCAGCGGATAACACTATGAAACTTGTTAATATGTACTCCACGCGATAAAAACGGGATGATATCTATCAGTTTTAAATTTCAATGACTTTACCTCGAATGTTTAAAAAGTTTCTTTCAAAGCCGAGTTTAATTTCAAATTTTTCAACTAAATTTTAATAATTTCTTGGAATAGTGCTAAGGTAACATTTACAATGAATTAATATTTACTGAATAAAAAAGAAGATAGTTAAATGAATTAATGGTTTTTGTATATTAAATAAATGTATGTTTATATTTAGTAAATATTTATTTCAGAATTATTCAAACAAATATTTATTAAAATTTAGTTGAAAAATTTGAAATTGTTACTCAAGCTCTTTAAGATTTACTGAGAGTTTTGATACTACGAGATTTTTGTAAGCTTACAATATCGATATCTGTATTCTCGGCCTTAAAAGCATTTAAACTCGAGTTATCAAGTTTTAAAGCGCAAGCAGCAAGGACACCTACATGACATGTATATCCACGTGCGAGAATTGCGTAGAAGACACTTTTAACGCGATGCGAAAGGAAAATAATACTCTGCAACTTTTTTTATAATACCAAAGGTTCATGACGTGTTGTTGTTCAACTTTTTTAAAGCTCATATTGTTAAACTTTTCTAGAACTATACTTTCGTATGTGTTCTTAGAAACTATTTTATATTTCAGGTTGTGGTCGCCGGTGTCTCGGAGGATGCATTAAGAAAGAAATTGCCGCAGCTGGCTTGGGGCCTGGCTAGACAAGGTGGTCCATCCGCGGCGCAGCTCGCTCGAATCGCGATGTTACGGCTCAAGCCTAGCCTGCTCTTGGAACAATTACTGCAGCCACATTGTCTGAGCGCCAGAAACACTAAGGTACTCTCTAAATTCTTTGGGGTGGAATCACTTTAAAAAGTGAAAATTGAGTCAATATTGAAAAAGAGTTTGGATAGAGTTCCGAAAAGGTGAATCCCCCAATTTTCTTGTCGATTGACATAATATTGTATTTTGATATCCTGATTACGAATATAATAATGAAAATTGGTCATTTTCAAGGTTAAATATTTAAAAAAACGATTTTTTTTCACATTTTTTTCACGTAAAAAGTCGTGCGACCCTAAGTAGGGATGGGGTGGGAGTCGCTTCGCGTGGAAGTCGTGCTCCTAAGCAGGGGGGTGGTGGGATGGGAGTCACTTCACATGACAGTTGCGCTCCTAAGAAGGGGGGGAGGTGAGGTGGGAGTCACTTCGCGTGAAAAATCGTAAAGAAATTGTACGTTCTATCTATCGCTTAGCTAGATTGCGCAGCAAATGATCTTATCGGTAATTTTAATGATCATATTTGTAATCAACAAGACTGGATAAGTTAACTTTTTTTTTAATTAAATTAAGTTAAAGTTAACAGCCTTGAAAATTTAATTAAAATACAAGTTAATCCATAATAAAATTAATTAAAAGTTAAGTTAATAAAAAAAGTAACTAAAAAGTTAAAAGTTAAATTTGATTCAAACGGACAACCAAAAAAAAGAAAGAAAAAGTTCGACTATTTTATATAATTTTTTAATTTTTCATATTTTTCCTTTTTTACAGCTTATTTATTTATTCTGGTTATTTTTGTTCACACGATTATATAATATAAAATTATTAAATTATATACTCATTAGCCTCTCACATTGTATTTAAGGATTGACTTCAAATAAACAAAATCAAATTAAAAGTTATTAATTACTAATAAAATGTAACTAAATGAAGTTAAAAAGTTAAGAGTCTAAAATGTAACTAAGTTAAGTTAAAATTAATTAACTTTTTAACTTTTTAACTTAACTTTTTATCTTTTTAACTTAGCACTATTCAATCCTGGTAATCAGCGCACCAAAATACAGTATTATACCAATACAGTATTATACCAATCGACAATAAAATCGAAGAATTTTTTTCGGAACTCTACCCAAAAGTTGCACTCTAAACAGATTCACTCTAAAAAGTTTTTAAGTAATTTAATTCGTGTCATTTTGACATTAAATTTGTTGCTTTTACGCAGACAAGAGAGAACGCATTGCAGTTGCTGATCTTCTCGCTAGTGACGTTTCCCAGCACCGAGTTCAAGCTGGAAATCGTGGCCAGCCGAGTGGCGGCGATGGTCGCAGATCGGCGACGCAGAGTACGTCAGGCTGCGCTCGACACTTTGGCTGTTTTAGGACAGATCTACGATTCTGAGGTAAAAACTATCTTATTAGATTTGAATGTTAAGTCCATGGCACACAGAAAAATATACGGCAATAAGACGTAAGCAGTAGCTAAACGAATCGGTCAATCGGTATAAAGACGTAAGTAATAACAAATTCATTAATTCAAAATATTGATTCATTTAGGTACTACTTATGTTTTTCTTACTGCTTAAATTTTTTATGTGACATAGCCTTCATGGACTTTCTATAATAAGCCATTACCTAGTCTTAAACCGTAAGAAATTAATCAATCTCATACAGATGATTATTCTTTTCACATTCAACATTCAATCAGAGTGATTAATCAATTTTTTACGGCTTAAGACTTAAAACTTAGTAATGACTTATTGTAGGAAGCCCATTAATCTTAAGCATTGAACAAACACCTCGTTCGTTTGTAGGAAGTCATTCAAGCGGGAAGACGGGCGGGTGAGGGAAATCCCGACGCCGAGGCGATGCTGGCCGCCATCAGAGCACGTCTTGCTAGGAAATCGCTACCCCTAGTATCGGCCGATGGTCTCGTGGTGTACGGCTTGCAAATTTCACCGACTGTTCAGATCGCTACTGGTAATAACAACCAGGAATAAACAAGCAAAGCATAATGCACCCGCACAGATAAAATCTTACGACAAAGTACAAGTTTCATTGACGGCGGTACTCTAAAAAAGAAACTTTATTGTACGATAATTGCGTTGTTACAATAGTAAACTTTGCTGTATCGTTATTTATTCTAGTGAAGTTGAATGAAGTTTTATAAAACAAAGAGATTTTATATGATTAGAAGATATTGTAATATAAAATGTAACGTAATAATATCACAGAGCGTAGTCAATAAGTTAATTTTTCTTTTATAACTGCATAAAAGAAATCACGCAGTTAGATTTCTAATAAACGTTTGAAATCACGACATCACATCGCGTGACATTTAATGTAAAACGTAAAGTTGGATATTACATGATTATCCGTATGTGTATCATAAAATTTATTTTCTTAATTGCACATATTATAATTTTTCTTTTTTCTCTAAACGGGCGTATATTTATATTATATCGTTTTGAATACGACGCAAGTGTAGTTGAAAATTTTTGTATGATTAAAAATCCTTAATTATACATATTTATATTTATTTAACATGCGTCTTTGATTTTTACGAGACGTCAATTTCTCAGGCCCTGATGTTGATTGGATCGTGGCGGGAAGTGGTTCAGTCTCGCCTGGCACTGGTCGTAGTAGAGGTCAGATTATCGCCACGTCCAGATCGGCACAGGGGAGAGCATCCAGGTAATTTCACGTGATTATTCGAGAAAGTTCGGAATTTACCTAAAATTGCCTGAAATGTCGTGTCATTTTAGAAACGATTTTCTAAATAACCGCGAGAGTCCGTGGATAGAGAGACCCAATCTCGTTGCCTTAGGTGTCGGACTACAATCCAAGACTGAGCAATCAACGGCCTGGCAGTTGCAAACTAATGTAAGTTGGAACGCATACTTTCTATTTTCTTTTCTTGCTTCTTATACGAGCGTGTATTCT